GCAGTGTCACATTGTAGAAATAATGTTGTGAATCAAAACTGTTGTCCAAACCCCCCAAGAGTGAGCTCTAGTGATTGTGAGGTGAATATGGTTTGAGATGTAGTGCTGCTACATGGTTTAACTTAGTGTATTTCTTTCGATCCACTGTCAACTAAGAGAAAACCAGAGAAAACACTTAGTTAAGGAATAAAGATGAAAGATTTTTTCTCAGAAAGGAAGAGAAGAAAATGCGATGAATAGCAAAGTATATTAATTTTGGCTGATATTCAGTTCATCATTGGAAGCTATCGCAGGCTGCTCAAGTAGAGTTCATTCAACAAGCAACGTCTTCCATGATTCCTTCCACAAACAGGCCCTTACAGTTTTCGACGGATCCATGCTGCTGCTGTTTTCAGTAGCGAGCAAGATATTTTGGGACATTTCTCCTAATACAATTTAAATCATACAATGCATCGTAATGAACATGATGACCTGAATATCCAATTTACTTTTTGTACAGTTTCCTTCACTTCTTATTTACCAGCCATGACGTAGGTCCTGTTTGGCAGTTTAATTTGTCACTGAGGACCAAGTTACTTGTAATTCATTCCTTTAATTTTTAATAGCACTGCATCACAGATCTTATTTTTATTTTGCTGTACTGTATTATGCAGTGGACTGTATAGAGTTATGGAAAATTTAAAGGGATTTCTTTGTCAATGGTAGTGTGAATAACTTTGATATTGTGTTTTGTTTTTTAAATATTTTTGATGGCTGCAAAATGTTCCATGGTCAATCTTAGGCAAAATTGCAGATCCGTCTGTAGCAAAACCCACTTTCATGAAATGGGTGAATTAATTCAAATGAAGTGTACTACAAAAGAAAGCAATCTGATATGCATAAGTTCACAATTCTGCCTTTTAACTGCAACATATGCACCATCAAAGCACTGTATCAAGTAGTAGAATTCTTCAAGCAGTTTGAAAATGTGCCTTACCGATTTTTGTATCCCATGTCCGTTTGCCTCTTCACTGGTTGTGGGAGATATGCCTTTTGAAGTATTATGCTTTGTAGCAAACAAATCTGCCTTTTTTTTTTTACATGGTTGGCCTATAGAATATTATTCTGGTTAACTAGTTTCAGAATAGCATACGTGAGGGGTCTTTTGAAGTTGTAATTTAAATCGATCATTGACATGGTATATCAGAATAAAATTATAATTTTGTGTATCTGGCCTTAGGTATATGGTTATAGTTTCCCATTCAATTCATCTCAGTCAGTCATTCCATTTTTCATCACATCATTTATTTTCTCTTAGGTTCTGCTCATTCCTTCCTTCATTTCTGAATGATAAAGCATAGCTGAAATTGCCCTTCTAAATTTCTAAATCATCACTGCATGACAATTGGACCACTTAACTATGAAAGTCACAGGCCAATATCATTGCAAGCTCAAAGTTTTCAAAGTTTGACCCTTGTTTAGTCATAAATCCTTTTAAAATGTTGACAAATGGTGCCTTAGGAAAACCTTTTTTTATACTTAATGTGTGCACACAATATCATGACAGTATTAAGTAGCTTCACACTAAATCTTGCTCCTTCCAAATCCACCTGCTTAGCAATTGTATCCAGCTTGAATAATGAGTTTTGTTTTCATATTTAATTTTCAGCATGAGTGGGAAAATGTGCACATAGAGAGTTCTTACAAGTGAAACAATTTCCAGTAAACCCTGTTAAAATCCAAATTTGGTGGAAGGCATATATTCTTTATTTTATTCAAATTTATCAAATGCTCTGTATCATGTCTGGAAAAAGTATGGGTCTGAACTTGGAAATTGGACAGTCATTGTATATGAGAGTAATATATATTTTATTGTTTATGTTCTTTGCCTTATGGACTACCAAAGATTGAACATAGAAAAATTATAGCCATTTGTTAGAAATGCTGGATAATCCATGTATGTATATTGTACTTTCCATTTATTGCACAGTAAATTTGAAGCAATGCAAAAAATGGTCATGAAGGCAGAGACAGTATTGCAAAGTTAATATATTGCAGATATTTTTATCTTTATAATAAAATTTATTGTAAGAGGTAATAATGTATCAGTGTCATCCTATAAAGAAAACAGTATAATAGAAGAAAAAAAACTATTTCCAGTTATGTTTATTAGGTTTTAAACAAAGACATCATTCTTCTGTAGACATATTTTATCAAGAAATGAGATTTCATTTGGCAAACATTTACCCGGATCTCCATATGAGCACAATCTAGCCTCAGAGCTGTTCAACAGCACTGTGGCAACACCCTAAAAAAAATGGAGGACAATCACACTATTATGGAAGGCATTGATACAATAAGGTCACAGGGAAGACACAAACTTGCAAGGCCTGCAACCTATCCTGTGATAAATGAGCCCCCCGAAGCAAGGGAATGATGTCTAGAAGCTATGGAGACTGTACACTATGATACAGCTATACACTCCCTTGCAGTTCTGGCATCAACCACATCTGCAAGGGTTTGGCACACCTCATCGTGGCACCAAGTGGCACCCTCTGGGAATATGACCTGACTCAGCTCAACTTAATACAATAGCTTTACAAAATTTTGTGCACTGCAAACTAAGAGCTGGAATGAGTAGACCACTGGGTTCCCACAACTGCCCCTATCCCAGCCTGGCTCAAGAGTGTGGCTTAATGTCACATTTGTCACCAAATGTGCACAAGCCTCCACCATCAAGTACACCATCCTAGGCCATCATAAAACAATAAATTTTCAAAACTGTTTTACGTGGAAAACCAACACTAATAGTAAAACCTATCAAAAATGAATGCACAAAACAAGACATCCCATCATTTTCATTTCCTTTGCAAAAGTTGACAAACAAACACTTTCCAAGACTAATCTATCAGGGGCAGACTAATAAAATAATTAGAACTAAAGTGCTGCTCACATGCCTCCTGATGCTGCTACTACCAAAGCTGCAGTATCATTAGAAAATGTCAACTAAACGAGGCTTTATTCTTCAGTACATGATCACTGCTTCAATTCAAACCACTTGTCCATTTGAGAATCCTTTTGAGAGAAATGAGCACAGACAGCAGTGAGCAACATAGCAACAATTTTTGGTATCAATGAGCAGGAGTCAACGCAAGATTGCAACAACACCCATGACACTTCTGAAATCTCTGGTGGCTATTGCATTAATTGTCTGGTCTGTGTTAGGATTTAATGTCCAAGCACAGCACATGCATAGGTTATAATTAATCAGATATCTAATAAAATCAATCACATGCTCCTTCCATGACCCTGGATAAGAGATTCAGAGCACATAAAACAAAACAAAAATTTGATTAATATTATGACACTATTCCATATATGCTGTGTTTCCTAACTCTAATTACCAGGCAGTAAAACTTGCACAAACATAAAACAAAATATTTATAGTATACACCATTAGGTAAACAGCCAGCCCAAATCAGCAGTATGCCATCACCATGTCCAATAACATTTAAAAAAAATGAAAAGTTAGATGTAGTTAATAGCATATGGATAATGTTAAAGACAACATGCTGTTAAATTATGAATGTACGACAAAATTATTTCTAATACCAAGAAAGAATGCCTTTGACTTGGTGCTATGGCCTACTTGCTGTATTGAGACAGCCGAGTGCCGATGTTTGATGCATCCTTGCGTCAACGTGCCACTCTCACCTGACAACCACTTTGTACAGATAACTAAGAATCTGGCTCATCACATATGTCCGGTGAATAATGTCTCATCACAAACATCAAAACCAAACTAATGTCCCAGAAAAAAAGTTTGAGTTTCATTTCCATATCAACAAAAGAAACAAAAATAAAATGTTTTCTACAGGTATGTATGTATGTATGTATGTATGTATGTATGCATGTATGAATATGTATGTATGTATGAATGAATATGTATGTATGCATGTACAATGTTGGAAATATATGCCCATCTGTCAGTGTAGGTGTGTGTGTGTAAATGTATTTTATGCAAGGCTATACATGAATGTCTAAATATTATATGTGTATGTATATGAACATGAACATATAATGAGTAGTTCCTACATATTTTACCATCCTCACCAGCATGATGACCAATGTCAAAAAAGTATAGCTAAACTAAAAAGTGGATTCCTGACCTGGGCCTGGAAGTCTTCAATTTTTTGTCTTTTTTTTATTTTATGTTCAACATTCTTCTTTTCTGAATATGGAGAGAAAGTTATTCACTTTGATGAACCACATTTCAGGAGGAAGTGGTACTGAACAAGAACCTTTAAGCAAACAAATCTAAAACTATGACACGGACAATTACATTTTGTAAACTTGAACTTAGTCACATAAACATTCCAAGGACAATGCAAATTTTGCATTACAATCTAAGTTTTGGATACCGGATATACTTCCTCCAGGGAACTGGCTAAAAGCAGTGGACTGGCCCAAAATCTGCTGACAGAGGGTAAACTGCATTGATGGCTTTCAGTTTAGGAGCAATAAGCTTTATTTTTCGACTCCAATGTTATGGGACACAGAAGACAGTGGTATAATATGCAGGAACTTCTCTCTACTACACATATAAAGTCAAGGTACATACGTACATATATACATACATACATACATGTTTGTTGTCCTCAAAAATAATTACAATCACACAGTGGTCATGAGAGCTTTGGCAGCAAATGGGGCTTCTAGAGGTCATATGAAAAAAATAATCAATAAATAAAATGACACTCCTGCCCACTATGGAAACAAATGTCACAGACAACCTGGAATGTAAAATAATATGCAACAATCAAATAAAATTAAAATGGCATCAAATCTAGTAGAAAGACTGTATTCATCAGCAATCTAACTATCTGACATCACATAGGGAACACTATCATTTAACAAGGAGAATCTAAAATCACATATAACACATATTTAAAAAGTGGATCAAAATCCTTTACAGGAAAGCAATCATACACAGCCTTACACTCTTAAAAAGAGGCTTGAGTCACCCATCTGACAATCTATCTCAAAACTGGGCACTGAACTTATTCTGTACATTTTTCAGGTCAAGCCATATGACTGTATGAGGTTGAAGTTGCATGACTGTATGTTGTGACATGAGTTTGATCACGTGGGTCCTGGCGGAGGTTGGTGTGATGCCATCTTCTGCTGGACCATATTGACCAGAATATCAGTATACTGCTGCATCATGGCCACCATGCGGGGGTCCTTGCTGTCACCAGTCTGCTGTGCCGGGGCAGCAGAGGACATGGAGGTTGGTGGCGGTGGTGGTACAGCATTTGGAGCTGTGAGCGGAGTAAGAGCGTGTGTGGCTCTGGCAGCTGCTCCCAGGAGGAGGGAACGCAAGGCCCTGTGGTGGTCCTCTTCTCCTCCACCTTCACTGCATGCACGCCACCACAGCTGGCTTAGCCGCTCGCATCCTTCTACTACCCACTCACAGACACTTTCCACCACTCCCACACTCACTGTGGGAGAAAAGTAGAACAAACAATATAATCAGTTAAAAAATATATAATAGAGGTCTACACTAGTGACCTCCTATAAGGACATTTCTTATTTTCTGAGTTGATTAAAAAAAACTATGTCAACTATTGGGTCTGACAAACTTACACAGATATTAGAGTCCCATCTAGCTCACTATCATAATATCTAAAACTCAAACTTCCACAAAAGTACCACTTACAAGGCATGTTGTCCAAGTCTTTGAAGGAGAGATCATCCCTCGTCGGATACTCCTCAGGGCTCATGTCCACAGTGGAGGCAGCAGATGACGGCCTGCTGATGTCAGAATTGGGCAGACCTCGTCTGGACACGGGCGACGCAGCTGAGGCGTAGCGTCCACGCACGGCTTCCCCTCTCGACTTGCTGGACAAGCTGCTGCTGCGGGTGAGGTCACGCTCACTCACAGCACGGGTAGGAAGGTTGCCACGCCTAACACACCACAACAAGGCATCACAACACAGGCAACATTCACAAGAGCAAAATAAAAACCATTAGCAGCTAATAAAATAACAAGTCACATGCTTTTTAAATGAAGCTCAACTGGAAAATAGACCAAATGCTTGTAGTTCATTCTTGGCATATTTTGCCTTTAAAAGGTTAACTACAAAATTAATATTAGATGGAAAAAAACTATTTACACTATAATTCTCTAAACTAGCACTGCAGGCAAGGAAAGCAAGAATGACTTGGACTACACAAAATGAGTGCTAAATCTTAATTTAAGCATTTAAGTGTTTATCATCTAAGTTATATATGCATGTGTGTGGAGTGACACATGCTCACAGTGCATGAGCATGCATATAGCTACATATGCATGTACATTTAAATGTGCACAGGATGTGCATGTGCATGTGTGTGCACAGATTTATGTGCATGTACATGAAGCTACAAAAAGTATAACCATTCAAAGAGAATTGTGATTCAGCATCAGTCAACAAACTTTTGTCAGATATTAATGATATCAAAACAAGAAAAAAATTAAACATTCACGTACACTTTAGCACATACCAGTACTCAAATCCATGCAATATTCAAAATAAAAATAAAAACACCATTCAAAGCCACACTAAAGCAAAACAGCACAGAGAACATTTCCTAGGATACATATTAGTGGATCTGCATTTCTTTTTCAAATTCTAAAAACTCATGAGAGCTGAGTTAGCATACACAAACAGGTATCTCTGTTGGCCGTGGAACATGATGTATCAATTTTTTCTAGTCGTATTACTGGCTACATTGGAAAATGACTGGTGAGAACTGTACTAGTTAACAGAGTAAAACAAAGCTTTACAAAGAAAAGTCTTGCAAGTCCTTAAGGCTTGCAAGCCCTCAAGAAGAATGGTAAAATACTCTAGCATGTGGATAAAACGACAGAAAAAAAAAAATAGAAACAATAACCGAAGTATGAGACAAAAGCTTTAGAAGGGTTTAAAATGTTTTCCTTCCAAATTTACTGAAGGAGGAGATAACAGTTCTTAAATCCTCTTGTCTTTCCCCTCCATGTCTGAAGATGAAATCCAGGAGGAATGTGAAACTGCTATCTCATCTTTTGTAGTACTTCTCTAGTATATTGCTTGTGTATTCTTTAGTCATATTTTTTAACTAGTTTCGTGTATTCCTTTATTCTTTCATCATGTATTCTTTTGTGTGTAGTGTTTTGTGTTCTGTGCGCTCTTTTGTTGCATTTCTTGATTCTTTTATTGTGTATGTTTTTCTGTGTCATGTTTTATCTGTCACTATGACCTGTAGAGTTCATACAAAAGCTTTGTCACCACATGCAGTTATACCTGTTTCACAGTTTTAAAAAATATAAAAACATGGCTCTAACTACAGAATATGTAATACTAGCATTATTAATACTAATAAGAATTTTGCGTGTGTTTGGCAAAATATGTAAGTATATACAGTAAACCCTCATTCTAAATTGTTTGAATGAAATAAACTTAAAAGTCACAAAAAACAGTTTCATAATCAGAATTTTTACTGGCAGTGCAGTATCTAGACCCAATTATATCTTCTAAAGGACTACTAATTTGAACATGTTGACATCCCATCTACGGCAGCTGGGAACACTGTGGCTCATATGTGTTTCACAGACTGTGCTATGTTTTGAATATGTGAGTTTCTAAATTAAGAAAAAATTGTGGATTCCTGAATAGTTGGCTAGCAGCAAATTGGCAGCATATTTCAAGTCACTGATATGCAACATGAAGAAAAAATATGCAGAAAAAGGCAACCAGTTGCAGTGTCTTCTGCAACAACATTGCAGACAAGACATTTGAAAAGCCTGTTTCAAAACTGCATATAGAAAGTATTGGCCATCCGCAGAATCTATTTTCACAAACCTGTAAAACTATTTTCAAGCAAGCAACATCTGATGCTGCAGATAGTTTGTCCTGCACCTCCTCCAGAGAGCCTAGGATTCAACACATAACAGGTTGTTGGGGGTCAACCATGCCTAGGGCTGGCAAAACAATGTGATGTTTAAATACAGATATGCTTTCTTCATCAGGCCATGCTTATCAACACTAATTGCAACTGTTTATCTTCAATGTTATAACAAGATTCTCTTCAAGGCCCAAGTTTGTTCATTAATCATCTTAGCTTATCAAATCATAAAAGGCTGCACATTCTTTGACTCCAAAAATGAAAACATCACTTTTCATCTGATCCAAATATTGTCAAGGACACTATTTCCACTGAAACCATTTCTAGTCAAAATGCATAAATTTAAGAGAATCTGAAATAATCAGGTATTTGATAAGAAGCAAGGGTTTACTGCACATATACATATAAATGTATATTCCAAGATGAGGCATTTGTGGATGGAATTTGATATATCCCTAAATGAGTATGAAATAAAATGAAATGTCAAACCAAATGTTTAAATAAATATAATGATAGCAAATCAAATAAATAATGAATATCAGATTAAGTGCCCATCACTTTAAGCACATAAATGATAGCATGAAAGTAACTAAGAAGACATGCTCTGATATAATGTGACTGAGTGCGTGTGTGTGTGTGTGTGTGTGTGTGTGTGCGTGTGTGTGTGTTGCTAATGTCAAAAGTAATCACAATAACTAATCATCTGAATAAAAAACCTTAGTCTCACTCACCTATCGCCACCTAAGGTACGACTACGCATATTCTTGTGTTCTGAAGGTGACGTATCTTCAGAGCTTGAATCTTCATGAAACTGCCGAATATCACCTAAGAAGTAATAAGAAGGATTAATATCTTTATAAGCATAATTTATACCTTTGTTATAACTGATTCATAAAAGAAAAAAAAATATTTTAAAAATTTGATACACTAAATATCAAAATACCAGTCAGTTTCAAAATCTGTCTAAAATACATAAAATAGTGACCATAATAAGATATTTTACAATACATTTAATAAGCCTTTTGAATATAAAAAAAGGGTAAGAGGATATGAACAGCATCACAGTGTATTCATCCTTATAAAGTTTACCTGTAGAGACAGCCTGCGAGAGGGACGCCTTCCTCTTGAGAGCACGAGGCGTCATCTTGTTCATGGAAGCAATGGTTGGTCTCATGGGCCTGTCACTTCTCGAACCATCCTCGCCAGTCTGTGTTCATAAAAACTCTTATTCCTTCTCTCACCCAAAAAGCTGAACACTCATTCTACAAGACAAAACACTTAGTATACTTAAGCATCAAATACACAGTTACCGGATATCGTCCCAACTGGGAAAATCACCTGATTTAGAACCCCAATAGAACTGGACCGAGACAAGGAGGAGTGTGATCGTCCAGGGGATTTGCTGTTGGATTTTCCACCCATCTTCTTTCCTCCAACTGAAATGGCATAAAATAACTTATCAATTCCAATTATTTTTATCAAATGGAGTTCATTAGCATAACCTCCTAACAATATTCTCTTAGTTAATCTACAATCTTCAATTATTTCTGAATCTTGTATTTCACAGTTTACTACACTCAACATTATTTCAGTATGTCAATTTACAATCTCTCCTACTTCTTAACCCCTCTGATATGCATTCCTCTATAGCATGTTGACAACAGGTATATTTTTCATTAATGAGGTACATTTAATCTCTTTCCATGAATTAACTAAGCAGAAAATTTAAGGAATATGTTGTATGAATCATATTCCTGAAGAGCAAAATGTAGATTTGTTCTATTTCTCTTTTACACCAATCAGCATTTAACATGGATCCTATATTTCTCTAAACAGGAGTTAATTACTTAGATGAGTTAGGTAAATTTAGATAAAGGACTTTCCATTTCTTCAAAATTACAGTTTAAGAAACACATTAAAGGGGTTTATGCCCTGTTCCATTAAGTATACACTAAGAATCTACAAAAGGTCTGTAACATAATAAACATAATGAATCAACATAAGTATACTACTGATCTATAAATCAAATTAAAATGAGAACATCCACACAAACTAGCAATAAAACAAAAATAGACTAGCTGGACTAATACAAAATGAATGGCAACTACAAAAAGGCACTTTAATAAGGAATGCTTAACAACTCTAAATAAAAAAAAAATTACTCAATGTATGAATAAAATAATATCCAATTCAAACACAGAGAAACAAAAAATAATAACATGTATAATTCCAGTTACCCATTTCAGAAAATTTATATTCATATACTCTAAGCTAAAAATAAGATATACTCTGTATACATTCTATGGATATATAAATGATATATTTTGTTCTTTGTCCTTATTCATTCTAAGAATTTTTACGCATCTAAAATGGTAAGGGTATTAAGAGTAGTCTATCTACTTCAAGAAAAACAGCATTCTTGCCTTTCAAAATTCTACACAGATTAATAAAACAAAACACTTGACAAATGTATTAACCCTTAAGAATAACACAGGAAATACCAACAACAGAGGAATTCCGGGCATTTATTTCTATTTACTGGATGATACTGTGAAAAAAAAAAGACTTGGAAAATGGGGAAGATATAAGAAATTAAGTGTGAAAAAAACAGTTTGTTGTGTTTCTCTGCACTGCAAGTAAAGCAATATCAAGAATGTTTCACTAGGGTATTCTGCAGCCATGAAAACAACTGCAACACAAGGCAAAGGACTCCAGAATGATGAAAGGTACAGAAGTAGACAGGTATAGAGTTACTGAGGTGGATATAGTTTTGTGTCCAAATGTGGGTACAAGTGTATCAGTGTGTGAGCTTGAGTGTGAGTGTGAGTGTGAGTGTGAGTATGAGTGTGAGTGTGAGTATGTGAGTGAGAATGAGAGTAAATGTGCATGTGAGTATAAAAAACAGAATTTTAGATCAAGGGAACAAGGACTGATCATATTAGCACTTAGGGACAGATATAGACTGATGAAGGACTGGAGACAGGTAAACAATCAAAATACATATCAGAGGATATTAAAAATCAACAAAGTCCTCATAATGCAAAAGCAAGAAATCAGTAAACAAAAGCCGTTAACAGTGACACAGAGAGTGGAAAGGGCTTTGGTGCTACCCTATACAAAACAACACTGAACAGTAGATATGGTTTTACCTGAAAAGAACTAACAATAGGGACACCCCGATATTCTGATTGGTGGATTATGCATATCAACCTGAGATCGTAAAATTGTGAGACACCCTCAAAACAAAAAAACAAAAATAGACTAGCTGGACTAATACAAAATGAATGGCAACTACAAAAAGGCACTTTAATAAGGAATGCTTAACAACTCTAAATAAAAAAAAAAATACTCAATGTATGAATAAAATAATATCCAATTCAAACACAGAGAAACAAAAATAATGACATGTATAATTCCAGTTACCCATTTCAGAAAATTTATATTCATATACTCTAAGCTAAAAATAAGATATACTGTGTATACATTCTATGGATATATAAATGATATATTTTGTTCTTTGTCCTTATTCATTCTAAGAATTTTTACGCATCTAAAATGGTAAGGGTATTAAGAGTAGTCTATCTACTTCAAGAAAAACACCATTCTTGCCTTTCAAAATTCTACACAGATTAATAAAACAAAACACTTGACAAACGTATTAACCCTTAAGAATAACACAGGAAATACCAACAACAGAGGAATTCCGGGCATTTATTTCTATTTACTGGATGATACTGTGAAAAAAAAAAGACTTGGAAAACGGGGAAGATATAAGAAATTAAGTGTGAAAAAAACAGTTTGTTGTGTTTCTCTGCACTTGAGTGTGAGTATGAGTGTGAGTGTGAGTGAGTGTTAGAGTGAGTGTGAGTGTGAGTGTGAGTGTGTGAGTGTGAGTGTGATGTGTGAGTGTGATATGTGAGTGTGATATGTGAGTGTGAGTGTGAGTATGTGAGTGTGAGTGTGAGTATGTGAGTGTGAGTATGTGAGTGTGAGTGTGAGTATGTGAGTGTGAGTGTGAGTATGTGAGTGTGAGTGAGTGTGAGAGTGAGAATGAGAGTAAATGTGCATGTGAGTATAAAAAACAGAATTTTAGATCAAGGGAACAAGGACTGATCATATTAGCACTTAGGGACAGATATAGACTGATGAAGGAATGGAGACAGGTAAACAATCAAAATACATATTAGAGGATATTAAAAATCAACAAAGTCCTCATAATGCAAAAGCAAGAAATCAGTAAACAAAAGCCGTTAACAGTGACACAGAGAGTGGAAAGGGCTTTGGTGCTACCCTATAGAAAACAACACTGAACAGTAGATATGGTTTTACCTGAAAAGAGCTAACAATAGGGACACCCCACTATTCTGATTGGTGGATTATGCATATCAACCTGAGATCGTAAAATTGTGAGACACCCTCAAAACAAAAAAACAAAATATATCTTGTCGCAGATTTCTTAAAAATGACTATGCACCAGAACAAAATTTAATAGTTTTAGTCATAAATATTTACTATGATTTTTTAAGCATCACATCTTTTTATTTATAAAGAGACCTGTATCTTGGATTTCATGCAAAATTTCTATATCCTGCCAAACAGTGAAGGATTCATTTATCTAAATCTGAGCTAACAGTACATATGATCAGTATGTGGCAAGCAAAGCATGGAAATAATCTATATGACGATTAGTTTTAGTGACTGGATATTTCACCATACAGTTACATTCTGTTTATAAACTAGCAAACAAAACTCTCCTTATTATCTACCTTGCAAATACTTGTAGGTGGTTGGCTATGTTTATACTGTACTAAATTTAATATGTCTAAGAGATGCCATATCAGAAAATGTTCACATTAAAGAAACTGGATAAAACACAAAAACAAAACAAAACAAAACAAAAAACAAGAAAACAGTGAACCAAAAAATAAATAATAATAAATCAATAATAACAAATAAATTAATTTTTAAAAAAAGGATATAAAAGTGCGGGTGCAAGCATACCCGTAGGGGGAGTTGGCAGTAGGCGTCGTGGGGTGGTGGGATTGGTGAGGTCACTCAGAGAGCAGGCGCGACGTAAACCACCACTACCACCACAGGGGCTGCTGCTGAACCCACTGTCTCCACTGCCGCCATCTACAAACAACAGCACACATGCATAGGGGTGGATTCAGATGGAGACAGGATGGTTTTCAAACAAAGATGTGAAAGGAAAAGGGGATGGAGTCATGGATATGAACTGGTAACACAAAGTTGGTATTCATATAAAAAGGTCAACACTTCAAAATGCAAGAGTGACTGAATACACGTTAAGAATGGTAAGTCTACAGTTACACGTCAAAACAAATATATTATCTATCCCTAATGATAGCTAAGAAGCTAATGGTCTCTCTTTCAATGATCAGAAACTGGGAAATGATGATATAAATTATGCACATCACATGGAAACTAAATCAAAATGGATCTTGCTTTATAAATGATGCAAGTAATGCTTTAAGACCTGAATCCATCCATGCATGCAGCACAGCAAGCATGTACGAAAAGTGCTGACAAAATAAACCATGCACAATCACAAAAGCCAGTGCTGCATTACATTTATTTGTCAATAAAAACTTTAAAGCACAAACAGATAAAACTCACATAAAAAATTATTCATGAAAACAAAAATGTGGAACAAACCACAAATATTCATATCAACACTAAAAACATGCTTCACACTTATTTCAAATAGTATATTAGTTAAAAGTGCATAATAAGCATCTCAAAACAAAACAAAAAGTCATGCTCACTTAACACTAAAGCTATTAAAATTAAAAATAAGATATACCTGAAAAAAGGAAAAGAAAATGTAGCAATAAAATAATCATTACTGAAATCATATGACAACGTAATGTTAAATATAATGGCAGGTCAGGTTGTCAACCTGCTGGTTCATTCCTCATGCCACAAGAGCAGCCAGGCGGAACAAAATGGCTCTCTCTTACGTTTGGATGGCAGGACTTGCTGTATGGTGACCTTCTTGGCCAGCAGGACGCGATGTGCCCTGCCCGGGGCTGGTATTACTCCTTGTGGGAGTGTGGGCTGAGAGGAGGGCAGGTAGACAGCTGGAGGAGGCCCTGGGGGCAGAGGCTGGGCTTGTACCACAGGGAAATCCTCTGCTTGCACCAAATTTCCAGGAGGGAGGACTTCCTGGTTTTTGGGGATATGACGCCTGGGTGATGATTCACGACTATGTCTTCTGAGCTGTTCAACTGCTGCTGACTGAGGTAAAGCATATGAAACTGGTGCTGCACCTTCTAATCTATAAGAATGAGTTTCTACAGTTACAGTTGTCACAGAACCATTACCATCATCAACTGTTGAAACAACTGTGTCCATTGGTTGTTTTCCCATAGAGTGAGTATTTCCAGAACCAGTTATGCATTTAGAAGTAGCAGCATGCCCAGGAGCCTTTACAGAAAAGTATGGAGGGTTGGTAGGTGTCTGCACATCTGAATGGCTGCTGTCACTGTGACCTAAAGCTGTGTCTGAAGTTGTGCGGAATACTCTGGAGTGAGAATTTGAAGGCAATTCATTTGTTGGAAATAAATCAGATTCATAGTCCTTTGGTCTTTCTTTAGTTCTTCCCCCTAGTGAGAGTCTCTGCCATCTCTGCCTTTTGCGGCGTGGCAATGGAAGAGTTCTTGGCACTTCACAAACGGGGGGACGTGGAATTTCAATTTTTTCTTCTGGAGCATCATCTTCGTCATCCTCATCTTCTAAACTATCACAGCTAAAATTTGACTGTTCACTCTTAACAGTATCACTATCAGAATCATCATCTGCTCTATATCGACTAGAGAAGCCAAGCTGACTCTGCTGGGAACTGAGAAGCGAAAGGCTCCTTAGCGTTTCCTCCAAGGAATCAGTGTCAACTTCAGGGGGAGATGGCGGGCATCCGGTCAGCAGATCAAACTCGTGAAGATCTCTCTCAAGCTGGGCCAGGAGCTGCTTACCTGTTTTCTGCTGGTCTCTGGGGACTGCACTGCCATCAAATACTTCAGATCCTATCCTGGCTACTCCTTCACTCCTGACATCTGCATTGCTACCGCCTAGAGTTGAAAGCCAATTTGACCCTAACTCAGGTATACTGCCACCAACAAATCCAGGTATACAACCAGAAACTAATTCTGGAAAACTACCTGTAACACCTGGCACAACTGTTGGAACATTGGTGCTGAGTAATTCTGGGATACTGTTAGTGCCTGTGAGAGGAATGTGAGACGTTGCAGGGAAATTAAGATAGAAGGGATTATCAGAGCGAACGCAGTTGTTACCTTGGTTCCCTGACATGTATGACGTATCTTTCTCTGGAATGTTGCTTAGGTCTGAGATACTCTTGCTGCTTCTAAGATTACTTTTATATCCAATCTGAAGATGGAGAAAAAATTATTCTTATCTTCATTTCATGTCACACAAATTCCATCAAATCATTTCATAAAAATAGTAGTTACTGAAGTTTAAAAATGAGTATTATCATGTGTCAGCCTTAAAATATGGGCAAATTAATCAGCAATAGCTACTAGTAGCAAACTTACACTTTGCAGCTTCTTTCTTGTCTCTTCAATTCTCTTTAGAAGTTCTTCGCGTTTGTTTGAGACTTGAGAATCCTTATTTCTTGCATTAAATTTATAAGATATACTGTAGAAAAAGAAAACAAATTGAGAATGCATGTCTAGCAGCACAATACAAAAAGAGAGAGAAAAATGAAAGTTCAAATCTACATGTCACAACCAAATATAATCAATAACCTACAAAGATCTGCAACCTTCTAATACCTATTTTTATTCTTGACTTCTTTTTCTGGTCGCACTGTCTCCCCTTCAAGTGACTCGAAGTTTGACTTGAGGAAAGTCTCACGTCGACCAACTCTGTCAATGCTCTCTGTGCTGACATTGAGCATGGACATAATGTTGCGCTCTGCAGTATCAGCACTTGGAGTCGAGACCTGTAAGTTGTTAAGATTAAGTATCAGTTAGTGTTACATACATCTACACATACATCAATTGATATCAAAACTCAACAACTTCTGCATTACCCTTGTCCTCTTACAGTGAATTACTGCAATGCTAATCCTACCTCATCATCATCGTCTGAATCCTGAGAACCAGAGACGGAAACAAGCGGAATGTCTGTGGGTCTCTCAGGTCTTGCTTTTCTGTGACGACGCTGGGAACGACGCAGCTCCTCGACATCCATTGCATTAACAGTAAAATCACTGAAGAAAAAAAATAATCAAAAATATATTTTAAATCAGTGGTTCCTTCAAGAACTCGTATAACTACCCATATACATTTAGGACATTCATAAAATCTTGAGATAAATCTCTCTTGCTACTATTAGTTTCATATGCTTTTAAACTACATAGAAATAGTAATTCACATGTACACTATGAATCTTCACATGTATCAGATATTGATGCAGTACACTTTACTGTATACTGCAATAACAAATATATCCCCGATACCAAAACAAATTATCTGACTACATCCTTTCATGTCTAATAGTACTCAACAGTCTTGTTACTACACCATATATAAAATTCTAATAAAAATTAAAACATTTAGTATTAGAAATGATTCTATTAACCCTCTGCCGCCGGGTGGCATGTACAAATGCCATACTAAAGTTCTTTCTAACAAGAAGCACTTACCTTGCTGTATCATCATTATGAGGGTAATACATCAAGTGTTCAGAATGTTCCGGCTCAGTGCTCTCGTCATCATGCTCGCTGTAGTCCTCAATGTCTCCGTCGTGGTCTGTTGCTCCATCGTCCACTCTCAGACTACTGACGTCACTATCGTCTGTGTGGTGTCTGTTGCGGCTCTCAGGATCACTTCCTCTCTTTGTGTTGATCTTAGATGGTGAGCCCTAAAAGAAATGTGGAGATGCACTTATTCTGAATATATACCAAGTCTTGAATCAAAAAAAGAAAAATGCTTCTTCTATTTAGAACTGACCACCTTCTGATCACTATCACGAAAATAATACCACCCTCAGTAAGATATCTCTTAAAAAATCAATCAAATCTGAAGACGGACAAAAAAAAAAACCTTTCCACTACTATACAAAATTTTTTAAAAAATCCACAGGCAAAAGAAAAAGACAAGAACAAACAAAAATCATACAAAATCATAAAACAAACTACACAGTCCCCTACACCCAGCTACTGAAGGAAATATTTTCTTTGGATCAAATATGAGAAAAATACCTGAAAACTGCCTTCCCCTGAATTAATTTCCTTCATGCTCTCTGGGCAAGGAATGAAGCCAGGGTCGCCACCTGAGTCCTGGAAGTTGGGAGGCCAAAGTCAACAGAGAAGAGAGGAAAGAGTCGAGAACACTGAACTCATGCATCTGATTTTGTAAGAACCATCAGAGAACAAGAGTCTTCCCTTTTTATAGAATAGATAACCCATGCACTGATGTTTTTTTAATTACAAAAGTTTTATGGAAAAAGTTGAAGAAATAGTAGTTGTTATAGAATGTCTCTATCACTAACGTATGGCATTCATGCACATCTCAATTAAAAATTCTATGGTTAACCCTGTTTTTTGTTTTGTTTTTCCAAGAAAGAGAAAAGTATCTCAGATTTATACAGATAAACTATGAAGTTATAATCTACGGAGAAAGATTGAGAGAAAGACAGTAAAACTTAACCATCATGCATTGTCATTACGTAATAAAAGCAGACTATGTTAAAACTGGCCTGTTCTACGATTTGAAGAGACTTATCACAAGCATAAACAAATTGTTAAAACAAATAAACAAACAAAAATTTGTTAAGGTATTTATTAATACCTGAACAAAATGAAGTACATCAATATTAATGTGAATTCCATATATGAGCCCTCCATATTATATCTTACTAATATTTCCAAACAAGAAAAAAAAAAAGACAAAAAAACGGTATGATTTCCTAGTAACAAAATTTAACCCAACAATGAAAAAAACTTTGTAAATCTATAGACTTACTTTATTTGGTAATATTAAGTTATCTCTACGTGATGTTTGTGATTGGTACTGTTTGTGGACTCCAACGCTGTCTTCCAGAGAGCTTTCCTTACTGGACTCTGAGTCTGGTTGACGTTTATCTGGAAAATAACGTAAATATTTGTGTTGGTTCCTAGACGAATATCACTAATAGATAAAGAGCTTTTTAATGATTTTTTTTTTTTTATATATAATGATAATCAAGCAAAATTATTTAGGATATGATATCCCGATCCAAATTTTTAACTTCAAAATGTATATAAAGTAATAGATTAACCATATAGAACTACAAGAAAATAAGATTACCTCTGGCAGGGAAAGGTATAACAGAGTCGGTATCATAATGACTTTTGAATGTTATGGCATTATTATGAAGCCTCTGTGCCCAGCGTCCTTTCGGCATGTCCACCGTGCCCCTGTCGCCGGCACCCCCAGCTGGTCCTTGTGGTTCTGTCATTTGCTTCTTAGCCCACAAAGGAAGCTGACCCATACTAAATCTGATAAAAAATATAAATAAATAAATCAATGAATTAATCAATAAATCATCTAACTAAAACATCAGATACTATTCATAAAACAACTATTCCCAAAACATCACAACAAACGTAACATCACACTGTAATCTGACCTATAATCTGGCTCTTCTGCTTCGTTGGCATTCTGATCAAATATGTCTTCAGATGCAGGTCTGAAGTCTTCATTATCGATAGGCTGCCTTACTTTTCGCTTCTCTTTGGAAGCTCTTTCTGCTTGTTGTGCAATGCGTGCAGTTATGGTCTGCGACATGTCATGTGGCATTCTGGGAAGATAATAAATATTCTAATAAATAAATATTCTATCACTTTATCAAATAACTATAAACACCAAAATCTAAACTATTTTACTGTTTTCATTCATTCTAATAACACCGACATTACAGTAAACTTATTTTTTTACTGATATCAATGATTGTATTTACTTAAAACTTAGTACTTACCTCCACAGAAAGATGCATCCGTCACCAGAAACTGTGATCAAGTGCTTGCCGTCACTGGTGAAGCGAAGTCCAGTAACAAGCTCAGAGTGCCCAAACATAGTTGCCATACATTCCCCAGAATAATAGTCATATATACACATGTTCTTGTCCGTACAGCTGGTAGCAGCATATATTCCACTCTGATCTAAGACCACCTGCAAACGAGAATGAAAAAAATCTCAGGGCCAATCTCACAGCTATGTATCACCCTTTGAAACTATTTCAATTTCTAACTTTACATTCACTCATGTCTTTACCAGTTTTCAAAACAAAGATCATACCTTGATCAAGGTTCCATCGTCTCCAATTGTGCCCTTGAAAGTTTTGGAATGCTTCCCAGTGTTAACGTTATAAACACGAATATTACGGTCCTGACATGCTGTTAGTATATGCCGCTGACCATGATCCACCTGCAAATAGAATAATCCACTAATATGAGCCAGTTTCCTTCAAATTTAACAACTATAACAACAGCAAATACAACAAACTATATGTAATCTTGTGGACATTATATAAATAAAGGAAGACAAATACATATTTCAAGAGCCTATAGATACCACAATCACAAATGGCTTTGTGCTAACCTCCATATCATAGAGTGTTGTCTTTCCAGCTACGTTGTGTCCACGAGAAAACCAAACTTCATTCTGGGGTGTCTGGAATGTGAGAAAGTCAAAGAAATTATTCACTATCCTGATTCTTCTGGGGAGGCTTGTCAACTTAACCAAGTTTCTACTGAATATCTAAGAACTTAGTCAGAAGACCCAAACCATCAAAATATTCTAAAAAGCCAAGACAAAAGCAGGCTCATGTGGTGAAGAGATATGGATGGGTGTTCAAGCAGACCCTGCCATTCAACGTCCATTTGCAAGGCAATGCTAATCCCAGGCAAACCATCTCGTCTCAACAGGGAATGACAAAAAACAGACTACAAAGCAGCGTGCTTTGATGTATTCACTGCGTCAATCCTTTTTCCTATTCTTATCAGCAGCATTTTGCAGTGATACCGATAATTTTGAACGTTTTATGCAGACGGCTAGAGAGTTCCACACATGAGCCAAGAAAAAAAGGATTCAATAAATACTCAAATGGTTCAAATAACACTTGCACTTGACCTCCACATTCTGCATGCAAGAAACCAAAATCCAAAAAGGGTGAAGCACTGAAACACATGGAAAACATTTACCCTCTTTCTGTTTAGTGATCCCTGAGTGACAGAAGGAGAAAAACGACAAATTAGATACTGGGTGCGTAATACTATGCTAAACATTTATCAGCCTTTTATATAGGTAAGTTTAAAAAATAACAAGTATAGGAGATGAAGCTTCTAATTTAATCATGTGAACTAACTGATTAAGGTAATCCGCCATACAAGTTTTAATAAACAACTAAATAAACTCTCCATATCCCTGTTCCCACTAGCATTTTTCAACAGGAAAGCAGGGTGGTCCATCCTCTATTAACAATGGCCAATTCTAGGTAAAACTATAGTGCATCACCACTGAGAATTTATATAGTGGCAAATAACTCTCATAGATCTTAATTCAAAATACAAAATCATCGAAACATTGGGTATAAAAAGATCTAATTTCGCATGCAAATAACAGTTTTCCTAATCATGTCAATATTCAGTAAAATGGAATGAGGGGTCAAAGGATTTATTTGTGCATTAGTGGTTGATCAAAGAGTGGTAAAAATAATACTCAAAAAAGAGCAAAACTATTTCACAACAAAATTTGTCAATCAACTTTGCTGTTTTCTTCTAGACTCTTTGAGGACATCTACTCAAAAAAATAAGATTACCTAATTAAAATGCAACAAGAAAAAATGAAATTTATTGCAGTTATGCCAAATATCACTTTCTTTACTTTCAGTAACTTGGAGCATTGATCTTTTATCAAGATGGTAAGGTGTAAGAGATACAAATAAAACTTAAAATGTGTATGATGGAAATCAAACAAAACCAAAAGTGAAAGGAAATAAGAAAAATAATGATTATAAATATCATCTTCCTTCCTAGAAAAATCTATATCATAATACAGACAGTTGCCCTATTATGCAACTTGAATTACACATTTCATTTTAGTCATATGAAAACATACTATTCTAGTATGAAAGACCCCTAGTTGTCAATGTCTTCTCAAATACATAAGGCTGGATAAGGAAGAACAGCATGCATTGTAGTAAAACTGTATTGGCAATTCCATAAGATTTCAATAATCAATCTTTCCAGTATCAAATGAAGATGTATATGACTACTAGTCCATCCTAAGTATAATACTCATGAATTTGATATGTAATCGTTTCAGACCTGAATAGTGTTTCTTGAACCTGAGTTCTGCCTCAGACTCCTATAGTAATTCAAAAGCAAACTGTTGTCATAACAATATTGTTCTCTACTCGGCCAAATTTCTTTATTATCAACTAGAAATGATCTCCATATTGAAATGCAAGCACTTAATGCTAGTGCACCCAACACCACGCACAAAGTGTAGAACGTACCTGTGTTGCACTTCGGAAGATGATCGACCTGTCAGCACTGCAAGACACCATTTGCAAGGCTCCCTGGGTTTGGTAGAAACGCACTGACGTAATAGCTGACGAATGGTCATCCAAGGTCTGCACAAAGCTGTAATCCTGAAAATTTAAATGAAGTTAAAATCTGTGCTTAGTATTCTTTACTGAAAGATGCATATATCCTTGCAATCTAAGTGATCTTGCTAACTGCCTATGAACAGTTGAAATCCCCAATACATCAAGAGAATTGAATTGCTGAAAACCTCCACTGTTCATGTACTAAATAAACCATATAAATGAACTTACTGCTGTCAGGGATGGCATAAATGCACTTGTTATATCCACTGTGATCTTAGTTTATCAATTGTGCCTGTACTAATTATCGAATCTGTTTTCCCTTTTCCTTAATTTTTGCCAATATCTTTTGTATTTTTACTGCTAATAGTATTATTAATAACAATGTTAAAATCATAATGTCAATAATAATAATAATAACAATAACAGTATTTTAGCTTCATTCAGGAAAAGTATTTTTCCCATTAATTCACAAAAGGGGAAAATTACTTAAGGTAAGACAAAGCCAAAGCGACTTCCCGGGAACTGTGCAATTAAGGGGTCATCTATACACAAAAACAATTCACAAAATAAAACTATAGTAGACATTGCATGTCTCAGCAGAAAGAGATTAACACCAGTATTGCAAATAAATATTTTCTCCATAAGAATAAAAACAAGATGATGAATAAATAGCACAAATTACTTTATGTACAGCAGGTATTTGTTTAAATAAAGCATGCCCACATAACAAGTTCAACTAAAACTTAGTATTACCTGATCAACTGCAAACACGTGGATCAATCTGTCCCGAGACGCTGACGCTAGGAACTTGTGGCCAGTGTCTGGGCGGGAATACTCAAGGCTCAACACCTCAGCATCGTGAGCTTCAATTTTGCAAAGCTCATCCAGAAATTGCAATTCATGCACTCTGTTGGCAGAATTTAAAGTTTAAATGGAGAGTAAATTCTAAATGAAAGGGCATGCAGTGTTCACAGAAGTCTAATTACTAATGAGGAATCCAGAGAAATCTTTCATATCTGGAGGTAAGACTGTTGAACACAAAAAAATCTAAGGGACCAATAACTCTTATGGATATCACTTTTCGCACACACTCACAAGCACACCCACACACACCTGCACATGCACACAAACAGCTACACAAACAAACATATATATGGCTAAAAAATATTTTAAAAATCTACAATGAAAAATCATATAACCTACAGCTACTACAAATCCAAAGATTAAAAAAAATAAAAAAAAAAAAGTTCATCAAAAAGAAGGAAATAAGACGCATAAAAATAAAAAACTCCAAAACCATTCCTCCTTTACTCCAGTCCTTCCCAATCCTGACCTGATGTTTCCAGCCCGGTCTCCAGAAGCCAAGTGCTTGCCATCAGGGCTCACTCTGATGCACCTGACGCCGTTGCGGGAATCGTATGAGGTGTCATTCCTATCCCCACCTTGAGGGTTAACATCTGTGTCTTTGATGAAACCCAACTCTGGGTCCACATATATGATTTTGAGCAGTTCCTACGGGAGAAGAAAGAAAAGCATCTGGCAACAGGCCTAAAGCTTACAGCAGCAAAATCACAATTGAATGAAGCTTTGAAGGTGTGCAAGCAAATTACTTGTACGTACTAAAATACACATTTCTGGACCTGCTTCAAAATATTGTCCAAAATATGTTACATTAAAACCTGAATTAACCTACATGATACAGGTCCTAGTCTTTCAAAACAATTTACATTAAATGATTTAAAATAATAAAGACAACAATGTTTTGAATATTTTACTATATCGTAGCTTTCTTATATCTACGTTTCCATTGGGAATAAGGAACACTATATAAAAATAAAGCAAAGCAACATTGATCAATAAATAGACGACTGGGTTTCTCTCCAGAAAAAAGTTTATAGCTTTGCCATAATACTTTATCATCAAATATTTATACAAGACTTAGTATTTAGTCATATTTCTGAAAGTTCTGAAATTAACATGGCTTATCTTTACACTAAACTACATTCAGTGCAATGAAAGTCAACTTCAGTTTTTTCAAAATGAGATCCAGCCTCATAACATCTTGTTTTCCTCTGTGCATTCAACCCACTGACTGCAGATGGCATGATGTACATGCTATGTCCACTGTAATTTTGAGTTATTAATTATGCTTATACAGAAATTGATCCACAAGAGCTTAGTCATCAAGAAGTCAGTTATTAGTACTATCTCTCTCACTTGATTATCCTTTTCCTTTATTTTGGAAAGACTCATTTCACATCACTTTAGCATTTTTATTGTTAATAGTATTTTAATAACAAAATAATAGTCATAATGTCAATAATAATAATAACGGTATCATAAAAAATATACATTAGAAAAACTCTTTGTTGGCTGAGCACATGTGGAGCTATCTGTGTGCAACAAAATTCACTAAAGACTTCAGTGGATAGTACATAAACCCATGGTCAATGAGTTAAAGAAAACCATTTATGTGTTCTGCAGATAAGTGATGAAAGCAATTTGTTTCTTACCACTTCAGTGTCCTGTAATGGGCAAAAGCGGTGCAAGCAATTTAAGATAATTCATAACAACTTCTAACCTTTGTTTCCTCATTTGTATGCTTTATGCAAAGAATTTCTTTTAATCAACAAATTGCCTATGAATTGCAAATTTATTTACTTATCCTTAAAGAGAATCTGACTCTTCATTATGCTTCTAGATAGGTAATGGTTACGATGCATCATTTCTACAGCAACAAACATATTCACTATAACAATTATTCTACTTCTGCTAATGGTATAGTGGCTATGACATACGAGCTTCATAACAATAGCATATTTCAAAGGTTAGTACATATCAAGGGATTACTTTTATCATATATAAAACATGTCCATAGGCTATGTTATTGAAGTACCTCTTCTAATTCATACTGTTGTATTAGCTGACAATGCATGAACAAAAGACATTTCAAAGAGCTTACTCCACAATGTAACTTTTGGTAAGAAGGCACAATAAAATTTCAAAAAGGTTCTGGAAAACAAAAAAAAACAAAAAAAATCAAAACATTCCGTAATTCCTCATCAATTTAGGAAAAAGCCAACCCTACTTACAGTGCTGTAAATATTCCTCTTATACAGAGTATTTGAGGGCATGGCAGAGTCAATATTCCAGACTCGGATTGTGTCGTCGGAAGAGCAGGTGATGAACGACCCGGGAGGCATCACCCCTTTCCCGCCCTCTCCCTCTGTGGGGTAGGTTTCCACACCCCATATACAGGCAGAATGGTACAGGTAGGAGTGGGACTTTCCAACCTGTTAAGGATAAAACATACAAGGCATAAATTTCAAAGATATTCTATTTTGTACTCATGGTTGCACATCCAGTAAATTAAAATCATACACTTAAGTGTAATACAAAATTGTATTCTTGTGTGTTCATTGTGCAGGTGCAACACCAAATTCATTGAGACACATCACATCACAATCAAATAAACAAAGTTTAATACTGAAACAAAATCAAAACAAAATGTCTGATTTCCAATATTTTATTTAATCTAAATTTCTTAAGGAATGCTACTCACAATTAATTTCTGCAATAAAACTTGTCAACATCTTAAAATCCTCATTTTCCTATTTAATGCTAATCACTTTTACAAAAGAGCGCAGAAAAATTTACAAACAACTAGGTTTAAAAAAAAAAAAATTATAATGATATAAGTACTGAAGTCAAACTTCTAAATACTTTTGCAAACTTCTGCTCTGCTATTTGATGCAGACTATCTTTACGGCAAGGTAATGAAAAATATACGTACCCTCTTTATATCCTTGACATCCCACACATACATGGAATGGTCATTATAAACAGCCGTCACTTTGTGGTTGTTTTCATCAAAGGATACAGCTATGGTGTCAGGGTACTTGGCATTGTTTGGGTGAGCGGCCATGTGACTGCATAAGAAGAGCATGCTATTCTTAATCAAGTGTCGAATGGATCACTCAGGGAGGAATATTAACTGCGAAAATATCTAAGAAATATTCTAAAAAACTCAAAATAACAAAAAAACAAAATAAGAACAAGAAGAAAGAGAATACGATGAAGAAGGCATAAAGGAAAATCAATAGAAGAAGGGGATTCAATCTAGGGTCAATGCTTCTCTTGAAAAGCTCTCATGTTAAACAAGGCATGCAATTTCCTTCCTATTCAGAGTGTACAGTTGTCTTAACAGTAGAGTAGATGTGAAATATCACTCAAAGATTGCACACTTGTTTGGTGAGTCTATGGTGCCCTTAATTTACAAGACTGTCCACCCTTTTAAACATCACTACACCAGCACAGGTATCATCAGCAGTTAATAAATGCATGAGGATGTTATCAATCATAATAACAGCCATCAATTTGGAATAATCCCTTTGGTAAAAGCAGCTGCTATCTTTTACTGTATGCTATCAACTTCAAAACACTTAAATGCAACAGCACAGCAATGTCCTGGATGGCCATACTTGGTGAATGCTATAAGAAACCAAATGATGCGAGTACTGGACAAAAAGGGTTGGTGCTGATAGTGAGTTCTGGTGCTTTTGCTTCCTTTTTTTTCATAGTTTTGGTAGCATCAGGGGTGACAGTGATAAAAAAGCCGACTGCATTAAATCTCAAAATAATAAGGAATGCACACTTTGCTGCAGGTAGTGAACAAGGATACAAAATTAAGATGTTACATACCAATTAGGTGTTACATTACTAATTACTAGAACAATGGTAAAAAAAAAATAGCTAAAACTAGCATGAAAATTGTATCTATCTGTAGTACATCACAGAGCATAAAAAAGTTTATCTGCATTCATAATAGATTTTGCTTCATTCCTTAGACAATTCTTATACAATAGTCTTTAAAAATCAACAGCACAAGAGCTGAAATGTACATTTAGAATTGACTTCAAGCAATATGCACTTTACACTCACAAAATGGAAAAAATGAACCATCCTGTTACTAAATACCATGCAACTTCGTATGACCAAAAGTGAGAAGTAAAAATAAAAATCACAAGCTATTGATACTTTACATATCAGTGACTCATATATGACCTAGAAATAGTTCCCAGATATACAACTAAACACACAAGAGATTTTTTCTGAAGTAAAAGTCCTAACTATGAAAAAGATACACAAGCATAAGGAGCATAAGTGGGAAAAAGGGAAAAAGAAAAACAATGAAGAAAGTCCTCCTAATCCAAAAGCATAAATTATCCTAATAATATCTTATATCACTTAAGAGGCTAACTCTAAGGCATAATAAACCTTCAGGGGACCAAAAACATACAATTACTAATGTTCTCACTTCAAATATCTTTCCTTGTGTTTTTCATTTTCTCTAAATGAAAGTGATAAACTTTTCAATGCTAAAATTTTAAGAAAACACACACATTCCAGGCAAACAGATCTTATCACATCATAAAATTCTATACTTTTTAATAAAGTGATTAAAGTTATATATTTAAAATAATTTACAATCAGTTAGGCCTTTATCACAGACACTAGAAAAAAATTAATTAAACTAAATATGAAATACACTCAAAACAATATGTAGTCCATTTTACATACCTGATAGTTAAACCTTTTGATACATCTACACCAAGGTAGTGCGTGCGAGGCAGGGTGGTGATGAATTGGAGATTATAGGGACTGAAGCATCGGATAATACCTTCTGCACAGCCTACAAAGATGTATTCCTCCCCGGCCACAACACAGTTTGCACTGGAAGTCTGAACAGAAGAAGAAGAAGTAGAAAAAAAAAATCATTTCAATATTCGTTAAGACAAATAAAAGACTGACAATCTTTACGAAACCTAATGACAATCAAGTAATAAATCAAACCAAAAAGATCAAGTGCTTAGAAATAGTAAAAAATAATCCACAACAGAAAACTGCACTCATACTTACTCTTAGCTCCACCCACTTGTCCAGCAGCCTTCGGTTATTGAATTCACACAACAAGCCAGACTTGGTGATGGCAAAAGTAGAGTCTCCCATATCACCACGTCCACAGGCAACATCACAGAAATAATTGTTTCTTTGTTCTCCAAGAATAGCAGACCGTCCAGTCAGGGGCACTGGCTCCTTAAACTTCGAAAAAGAGGCAAAGATAAATATATTACATTCATCTACATCAGGCTACTTACTATATTTCACTTGCATACAAATAGACCTTAATTTTTAAAATTTCATTCATCACATAAAAACTAACTCAATAAATAACTTTCAGTTAATGTTTCATTATATTAGCTATAGTTTTGTAAATTACCCCTTATAGTTCTCTTATTACACAGGAATACTATTCCTGCACCTTCCATGAAATTTATATAAGTGTGCTACTATGCAAACACACACTTTGAGTGTTTACTATCTGAGTGTAGTGTTCCTATTTTTAAGTCACAATGTACTTCATGATGTATCTAAAACAAAATCATGGAAAACCCAAGTCTGCAAATTATAAGAATCAACTATAGATCTCAATTCACAAGAAACACTAAAGAATATCCTTACCACATTCAGACGACTCACCTTGGAGCCTCGGGCCACTTCAAGGTACCAAAACTTCACATGGCGGTTTCCTACAGTAACAAAATAAGAACCATTCTCTGCGAAGCTGATAGCCTTGACCTTGCTGGAAAACTTGTTGGAAGCGACCTTCACTCCTCCTCGCCAATCCCACACATTCACAATCATGTCATGCTGGGATCCTACAGAGACTACATACTTCTGAGTTGGAGAAAATGCCTAAAAAAGAAAGATAAGAGAAAAAATGTATGATTAAAATTAACTTGAATGATCTCTAACAACAATGATAAAATACATAAAGGGAATTAGTGTGAGATGTGAAAGACAAAGAGAGCAATAGAAGCCTGAGATATGAAAATAATGAAGATCCTTCTTTTGTCTACATGGTAAAGACCACAATCACACTTAACTTTTCTTTTACATGATTCAAGGAGTTGTGCTTCCTTGACCACAACTAATATTCAAACTAACAGGATATCTAAAATGATTACCTATATCACATAAAAATATCTAAAGCAGACACATCACTTAAAACAGCAGGATACATTTTCTTTTATTATTAACATTATTACTAGTATTGTTAATGTTATTATCATTATCTTTACCATTATCATCATGACCAACATGATGATCATAACCAACATGATGATCATGATCATCATTATTATTATAATAAGTATTATTATTACTACTATTACTATTCTCACTACTATCACTATCATTATTTTTATCATTATGATTATCACTATTAATATTATCTTTTACTGCAAGACTAATACCCTTTTTTATCACTGATTTATATACACATTCTTTGGATAGCCCATAATTATATCATAAATGTCAATACTATTTGAAAAGAAATAAGAAAAAATAATACAATCACTGCAATGACAGAAAATCTGAAAAGGAAGAGGAAGCAAGATCAACAGATAACCCATGAAGAAAAGAAAAAATGACGAACTAGAAGGAAAGAGACCATAAGAGAGTTCAACTAGGAAAGGAGATGCATGGTCCTCCAACACCAACAATCGCGTTTGGCTATTTCGCTTCATACCCTCTGTGGTCTTGCCACTATTAAATGTTTTGCGTAACCCGAGCACCACGCGCGGGATCGGGACCTGCATCCGCACATCCTTCGATCGCCATGGTAACTGAGACGCTGGGCATACGGGTGGACGCCGCAACATGACACCGGACGCTGTGCCTTTGGCCAGCTTTACACGGCCATTCGACCACTCGTCCCGTTTCATTTAATTTGTTATAGGGGAGGGTGCAAGCCGAATGAAAAGGGGGTTTTATTACTAATTATGTCCCTATTAGTTGCTATCGGTGTCATGAGAAGAAGTAGTAATTCTTATGCTATCACGCAATCGCAATCACACAGACATCAGATTCGGTAATCGTAAAAAAAAAGGGAGGAGGCCAAAATAGTTTTGTGCACCTGGTGTTGGACTTGTTACACAACACAAGGTTTAAAGTAATAATAAAAACGCACGTACAAGATGACTCCTACTTTAGCATTGAAATCACCAGCAGGTGTTTACATAGACGCGCGTGGGAGAACCTGTCGCCCTACTGCCACATCCTCCCCTTCCCCTTCCCCTTCCACCCTTCCTTCCTTTCCCCTTCCCTCTCCGCTCTTCCTTCCTTGCTCTTCCTTCCTTCCTCCTCCTTCCCCCACACCTTCCTCTTCCTCTACTCCGCCCCCGTGTCACATTCCTATCCCTCATCCTACGCTGCTGCTATATGAACCAAAACAAAGCATGCACGATCACTCCCATTCGGCATGACACCCACGAGTTTATATGGGGAGAAGCTTATTCATGGAAATGAAGTTTTACTCCTATACCTAAGAAAACAAAATTCGGCAGTCCTTCTCACACTGGTACATCCTCATCCCCCTCATTCTCTTTATACCAGGTAAATGACATCTTTCTTCATCCTAACTAAACAATAGCCTCTTCTTCCTGCGACAGCACACGAGGATTCAAGGTCTGGCTACCAGGACCCCTTGTTCTGGAGCCAACGCCACGCATTTGTGTAATGGAGATCCATACATGGGTTGAGAGCAAGGAGTGGAATGTCCTCCTGGTAGGCTCTGCCTCAACCAGTCCCTGCCGCCCCTTCACGGGTGCTCAGCAAGTTATACATGTTATGTAGTCTTGGCCACCTCGTTATTTAATTTTCACGCGGCAAAACAAGTCTACAATTTCACCTCTTAGTTCCACCCGAAGTACAACCCTCCCCCTTCATTCGCCTTCCAGTTCCTATGCCCTTCCCCGATCCCTGATCCTGCCCGGCCTGCGCCAGCCCTCGCCGGCCGCCGCCCTCGCACCGCGGTCAGCCAAAGGGTGTGGCGCCCTCCGCCTCCCGCCAACAAATGCCTCCCGAACGGCGTCGATCGACACTGTTTACCTAGGAGTCCGAGGCCGATGGATCCGAGGCGAGGCCGAAAGAGCCTCGGCGGGTAGCCACAATCTGCTACCTCACACCGCGGGCCGTCTCCAAGCCTTGCCCGTGACACCTCCCACACCTGCGCAATCGCTCGAGATCTTCCTGCCGGCGGTAATACGTGGGTGCTGAAGGTTGTTCCTCTTTCTATCCGCATCTGCGCACTCGTTCACACAGGGTGGAAGAGGCATCCTGTCGCCCTCCTGTTAAGCCTATTCGTGTTGGCCTACACGCTGTCCTGGCGTGACTCGCTTTTCTTGACCTTGCGGCTTGAGGCTACATCATCCTTGTGTACATAGGAGTTTTGGAGATGCCTCGAGTGCCTCGACTTCTCTCTTCTACCGACGGTGTCTCTTGCTACGTGTCTTTCGCCGTCACGCCTGTCCCATCACCTGCTCACGGTGGTGGGCGTGGGCGTGACGTATGTTCCTTAACTTTGGGCATTCAACGTGGCAACGCCCATGTCGTCGGCGATGGCTCTCTGTGGGCTTCGTTTAGGAGGAATAGCTCCATGGCACGGCGTGGGCTCTCGACGGCGCCTGCAGAGAGCTCTGGCCTCTGCTCTGCGTGCTCTTTGCCGAGCAGCCATTACTACCTATCAGCAGCCCACGCTTCTGCTCTTCCCTACCGCCGAGAACCACTGCCTCCCCAGAGCCATCATGCCGACCCATTAGTCACCATCTGTCACTCTCCTACAGTGCCGTATCGACTCCACCCTTGTGCCTGACCACCCGTCACTCTCTGCCCACTTGACTCCGTGTTACTGCCAGCGTCGCCCACGCACCCGAGATCGTATCGCCTCGGGATTAACATCAGCTTCTTTGTCTCGTGCTGTCACGCCCGTGCGCCAACTACCTATTCGTGTGTGTTAATTGGTCTTCCCGCGTTGAAGATCAATGGAGTTAAGAGTCAATGTTAATATTTTATTTATTTTTATTTTTTTATTATTATTATTTTATTTTATTTATGTAGGCGTCGTCTTGTTTTGTTTTTCTACTCCTACGCCTTCTAACGATCATCTGAAATTCAAAATATCCTTTCCATTAGGGTTCACAACGAGGCATAACACCGCTCTGAATATTCATTAGCTAGCAAGACCACCCGGGAGAGATGAGGCCGACAGGGTTTCACGAGGCCGTAGGGGAGGGCCGGGGACCTCTGGAGTGACGACGAGGCTTCGGGGCGTCGGAGATAAAGCCAGGCAAAGGGAGAGGGTTACAAGGTGCCGAAGCCCACCGGGGAGGCTTCCCAAGACGGCGGACAGATTATCAGCCGCGGGAATGCAGATGCGCGCCACCGAATCCAGTACGATCAGCAGCATGTCCACTAAGTACCCGGCCCTCCCCCCCCTCCACCACCTTGTCCCTTTCTTCCCCTCCATCACCCTGCCCCCTCCACCCCTTCTATTAGAAAAGAAAGGGAGGAAGAGAGAGAAGGAGAAGAAGAGAAAGAAAAAGAAAGAAAGCAAGAAACGATAAGAAAGAAAGAAAAGAAGAATAAAGAAAAATAAGAATAACAAGACCGAGCCCTTCGGCCGCACTCACCACGCACGAGACGCCGTACTTGTGTCCCTGGAACTCGGCCACCTGCGTCTTGTCGGCCACGTCCCACACCCTGACGGAGGGCTGGTGGCCGCACTCGCCCGTGGCCAGGTAGCGGCCGCACGGCGAGAAGGCCACGCACGTGATGCTCTTCCTCGAGGCATTCTGCACGTGCTGCTGCCGGTTCTTGCGGGGGTTCAGCAGCACAACCGTGCACCTGCAACATCGCGTTCAGTGTTATGAGAAATGTCATCATTATCATCATCATCATTACTATTATCATTCATCTACATCTACATCTACATCCACATCATCATCATCATCACTATCATTATCATCGACAGCATCCTCATAATCACAATAATCACCATCATCATCACTATCACAATCATCAACATCATCACCATCGTGACAAATCAAATCCAAAC